TTTATAATTGTAATAAATGACATCTGTGCTCCACTGCATTCACTCATTTCTTCCTCTGAAGAGCACTCTTAGGACAGCAAGATATCTTTGAAATCCCTGCTGAAACAATTATATAAAAGTACAATTTAAGCTTTTAGTAGAGGCTACATTAATATTTCCAGTGTTTGCTGACTCTCTGCTCTCATTCATGCTCTCTTCATTATGCAAAGGTTCCAGGAACTGGTGGGTAGACATCTTTGATCACCAAGTGTAGAAATTCAGCCAGAATCACTTTAGCACAGTGGTTCTCAACCTTCCTAATGCTGTGACCCTTTAATACAGTTCCTCATGTTGTGCTGAGCCCTAACCATAAAATCGTGTCATTGCTACTTCATAAATTTGTTACTGTGATGAATAGAAATATAAATATCTGATATGGAGAATATCTGATATGTGACCTCACAGGTTCAGAAACTCTGCTGTAGACAGTCTTTTTTCTCGTAAGTTATTAACTGCAAGGAACTGGGCATGGAAGAGAATGATTGAGTCAGCCATGAAATGAGTCTCTGAACTAGTCCTTAAAGTAGCTGAATCAAACCAGTCAGTGCTTTTAAGTGAGCTCCTTGTTCTATTTTAGTTTGTCTAATTAGCTTTAGGTATGGGTTTGAATCGTTAAGTATGTAGTTCCAAGTGTCTGAATTTAGGGACTTACTCCTTAAGTAAGATTTTGTATCAAAATCAACAGCAATCATGATATTTTTAGGCATATGCGTGTGTGTGTGTGTGTGTGTGTGTGTGTGTGTATGTGTGTGTGTGTTCATTTAAAAATAACAGACTTTCTTTTTGTCATATCCATTGAGATTATTTTTGTTATTCAGAGAAAAATAATAATAGATGCTAATTCTAGTTTCTTTACACTGAACTCCCATTTCCCTCTTGGGGACTGTGTCTTGCTGGCTGGTGTGATTGCCAAAGAGGTGGAGTTTCATAATGGTTTCATGCCTTTCTGCAGTACGATTCCAAAGGGCACATGTTCAAGATGCTTTACAGTAAATTAAAGATGACCTTATCACAGACAGCTCTTTGAGAGGGTGGACAGTCAGTGAATTTTAAATTAAGATAAGTGAAAAATTTCAGGCTCCCTCTGTTCTCTTTCCCCAAGTCTCTACTTGATACATAGATATTGTAAGGAATTAAACTAAAAAAAATGATAAATCTTTCTTATAACCTTTCTTATAAATATTTTTTAACTTTCATAGCACCCACTTCTTTGATCCTGTTGATAATTATTTTGTAAAGCAAAGAATCAGAATATTAGATTGTATTAGATTCTGCAAAGGTATGTCATAATTTAACTAATTGTATTAGATTCTGCAAAGGTATATCATAATTTAACTTAATAACTTGTGTTCTCTTAGAAATGAGTATGAGAATTTTTACCAAGCAGTGAAACTTTCATCCTGAAGTGTGTCATGGGAAACATTATTTTTACAGAAAGTAAGGTGTTGTTGAGGAATATTTTAAATGTCTGACAGTGCTAAGCATGTGGGAATTATTTCTCAGACCTAAGTGGATGTGGACTCCCCTCCTTCACTGTGCAGTTCAGCACCTGCTCACACCCAGCAGACACTGTTTATGTTTCTCTAAGAAGCATCACATAGCTGCTCTTCGGTAACCATCCAAGAGAGCAGAGGAGCCAGGATGGGCAACTCTGATGGCAGGCCTGCGTTCTAACATACAAGCTCTGTGCTTCCTAAAGTATATTCAAATGATTTCAAGTTTCATAACAAATTGAAAATGGGACAATATACAGGACTTAACAAATTTTAGTAGTGGCTAATTGCTGGTATTTTTGTTTTAAATATCATTTTCTATGTTTTCAAGATTTAGATAATGTATAAGAAAACATGGCCCCATGTGACAAACAGCAAAAGCTTGTAATGTAGTCATGGCCTTCTCTTTTACATTCATATGCACGAGGTGAGAAAAATAGAAACATTTTCCTCTCTACTGCCTTCTCTGGTGTTAGAAATGGCCATCTTGTGGTATCAGTGATTACACTATTGCATTATTGAATGATTTGCATGATATTATTGGACATGACAAACACTTAAAATTCACATTTTATTTTATCTCTGAAAAATAAGTCTCAATAAAGATGCACTTAAAATGGAATAAAGCATACATTTGGAAAATGGACCATGAAAACGATTTCTCAGATTTCTTGTGCTAGTGTGATGATGTAGTGCCTGTGGGAAGAGCTAAGCCAAATGGCCCCCCACTGAAGGATAAATTCCCAACTTGGTTGAGAGAATTCACAGAATATAAACAAAAAGGCAGAGATACTGCAGTTGTTTCCCAAGATGGAAGATAGTTACACTGTCATCGTGTGCCCTTCAAACTAATTTATATCTACTTTAGCAAGTGGATGAATCAAATGGAAATATTTAACTTGCCAGTCAAAATTGTGAGCATACTTGTTTAGGAAAATAAATGAACCACAAACACAGAGCAGAAGCTAAAAGGCACGGAATGCTGAGTATCTCCAAGCTCAGAATTGTGCTTCTAACTGTGAGTTTTAATTTAAACAGATAACAAGCTCAACATGTGTTTAGGTTTGAGCATTTGAGTAAGGTTGAGGGGACGATACCCCACCCCCATGAACACTGAGCATGCCTAGCTGCAGTGCAGATGTGTAGCATGGATCAGAATGCTTTTTAGTTTAGCCTAATTGTATTTCTAATGTAGTTTGCAGGGTATTATTGTCTTCTAAAACAGTTTAGTGGGTAGCCCCACGGGTTTCTCCCTGTAATGAGAGTAAGCTGACTTAATAAAGATCTTGGCCTTTAGCTATTACAATTTTAATACAAATTACAATATTTTCTTAATATCCAACTTATTCAATTTAAATTCCATTACCTATTCAGAGGCCTAGGCATTAGTGTTAAGAGTTAAGTTGGCAATGAACTGAATATTCTGCAGAAAGAAAATATTTTTCACTGTGGGATAATAAAAATAGACACATAGTGAGGCAGACAAAACCTGCTATATCCTTTCTTATTGGTTTCAGCAAATCTTTTAAATCAACATGACTTTTAATAGAAATATAATGCAGGGTTGGTTTTTTTTTAATGTTACATGGATGCTTTAAAACACTGTGACGATTACCTTCAATGGAATGGAATCAATTGCATTCCATTCTGTTAGCACTTTCTTCTACGTTTAAAGGTTATGGACTTGTTATATTAGTCTCTTTGACTAGAATTTTAAATAGATGTAATCCTTCCTTCCTTTCTCCTTACTTCCTTTCTTCTCTATTCCGTTATCATTTCTTGTCTTTTTAATATGTCAAACCCTATTGTAGTCTATAAGAATTCAGTGGTAACAGACAAGATCTATTGTTCCCTGAAGTACTTATTCTAGTGAGGATGATAGTTAAAAGAAACAAATGAAGAATATTCACACAGGATTACCAGATGCTGGAAAATGCTATAAATAAAGACAAAGAGGAATGTGTCTGATGGAAGGCTGTGTAAGAAAGGCAGCACTAAGGAAGCCACATTTTAGAGTTTCAGAATGGTACTCACAGCGAGGAACTGAAGAAAAGCACTTAGCAAAACCAGAGAAGATTGACACTCAAAGGCAGATTCAGAAGTTCTTCTCAATGTATTTTCCTAAGAAGAAAATCAAAAATGTACTAGTGATTGGAAGAATACATTGATCCACATTCTTTTCCTGCTTCCTCTCCCCTTTTCTCTCTCTCCTCTCATCTCTTATTTTCACCTCCATCTTCTCTTATTTCTTCCTTCAACTCTGGTAGGAGGTAAAGAAGTTGGATTCCTTGTAGAGATGGTCCAATAGAGAGAGCAAGAGAAAGTGAGCTGATGAGAATTCTTGCCTTTGTGATTCCAGAAACAAGTGTGCTTAAGCAAACCAGAGGCGTGAGATCAGAGCACTGGAAGAGAGTCTCCCTAGGAGCAATGTGGCCAGTTCTCATCTGTCAACTCAGGAGGGCTTAGACTTTTCTCTTGGTGACAAAACAGGAACTTCTACCCAGGGTCCTCTTGCTCTCTATAATACAACATAATCAGAAAGAGTTTCGAGAAATAGAAACATGTGGAGGCTATATGGTATTTAGAAAATGATCTGAGTCACATGGGACAAGAAGCTTGACTGGAAAAAATTAAGACTTCTCAGCTGTACTGCCCACATGCCATTTCGGAATTAAGTTTAAAAATTTAGTGTCACAATGTTAGTTATGAAGTTGCATTTTTCTCTAGCTGTACTCCAGCTGTTTGTACCTTTAGATTGAAAAATATGCAGTGACATTCTTTAAACCTTTATGAGAGAAGTGAAGTCAGTCACTAGCAACAGTAGCAGACAAATGATGGAGATACACAAGTCCAGTAATGCCTGTTCAGCCACTGTAAGTTTGAGCTGGCATTCTCATTGATGGTTAAAACACAAAAATAGCCAAAGAATGATGATGGAATTTGTTTTTTCTTTAACACCACCATAAGTACCCAGGAGAATGTAAATAATTGGTCTGACGCCATTCTAACATGACTACCAACGAGGTTGAATTACAGATTCAGGGTCCAAAATTTCATCTATTTTCTGTCTATTTTAACCAGTGAATCTCTTATTGGACATCAAGAGATATGTTTATTCTCATTTTGAAATTTTATATATTATCACAACTGGGCACAGAGTGCTGGTTCAATGGGAAACAGATCTAACAAAAAGTAATTAGTTTCAGTTAAAATTGCTAAGATACTAATCTATTAGGACATTTTGAGTGGCCACAGCATATTGCATAGTCCCATTGTCCATTCTCTTCTTGAATTCTAAGGCATCTGGATCGAGGCTTTAACGTCTCGGAGCTTTCTGCCTTGTATCTGTGTTGTGTGGTAGGCAAGAACAGTCTGGATGATTTGTGTTCCACGATAGGCAAGGCCTATGTGCAGCAAAGCTCTGGATGGATTTTCTCCCATCTTTATAATGTGTGTGATTCCTTTTAGTATACTTCGGCCCTGACTTACGATGCTGTCCAAGTGATGACCGAAGCATTCCGCAACCTTAGGAAGCAGAGGATTGAAATCTCCCGGAGAGGAAATGCAGGAGATTGTTTGGCCAACCCAGCTGTGCCTTGGGGACAAGGTGTAGAAATAGAAAGAGCCCTCAAGCAGGTCAGTTTCACAGAGTGAGTGCTGATGTGACTTCACAGGGACATTAAGGTGGTGTTTGTTTTTCCTGCCATACCAAATAAACCACCCTTCTTTAACTCCCATTGAACACACAGGCAGTGTGTTTTCCCTCAGAACACAAAGACAGGTTAAAGATTAAACAGAAACCCATTAAACTAACCTTTCATTTTATGTACTTATTTTGGGTCAGTGTGAACAATCTTCACAGTTTGTATTTTGGATCTGATAAAATTATAACTGTGCTTTATTTCCATTCCATCGTTAGGTTCAAGTTGAAGGTCTCTCTGGAAATATAAAGTTTGACCAGAACGGAAAAAGAATTAACTACACAATTAATATCATGGAGCTCAAAACAAATGGGCCCCGGAAGGTAAAACTTTAAGGCTTGAAAGTGGGGTCTCTGTGTGAACAGGCAGATTCCATCAGGAGTCCTCACAGCTGGGGTCAAAGAGCACATGCATGTAGATAACAGTGAGCCACTTCTAGATACAAAGTTAGATTTGAGATGCACTTTCTGAATCAAACAGACTCACTTCTGGTAAGCGACAGTGTAGTAGAATCTAAAATAGTACCTGTAAGCAGAAATGATACACTTGTTTTTAACTTTGATAGGGAGAATTTATGTGTAAGATAAGGCAACTGCTAAAGTTGGAATGAGCTTGGAAGAAATAAATAGCCATGTAAACATGTGTTTAACTTTATAATTCAAAATCTTCACTTAAAATAGTCTGGCTAAAATATCACTGTTTGGGATATACTTGCATAATTACCCCACAGTGTAAACAATCCAGGAATGTGAAAAGTGAGCTGGTTGCACTGCCTCATGCCCTTAATCTCAGAACTACAGAAGCTGTGGCAGGAGGATTGTGATCTGAATGCAAGTTGAGTTCTACACAAACCAGTATAAATACATTCCACGATCTTGCCTCAAGTAAACAAAAATAAATAAATAATAAAATGGAAGATTCATCCCAATTTAGAATATGATTTTTACAATTTCAATCCCAATTAAATTCTGTTTATGACCGTAAAATTTTTGCACTTATTTAGAATTCTGGTTAATGAGGGTGTTAGTTTGGATACAGCATGGGGTCGAAAAGCATCGAATGTTTTACATGAAGATGATTCATTTCTCCATGTTTATTAACTGTGACCTTTTTCAGATTGGGTACTGGAGTGAAGTGGATAAAATGGTTGTCACCCTAACTGAGCTTCCCTCTGGAAATGACACATCTGGGCTTGAAAACAAAACTGTGGTTGTCACCACAATATTGGTAAGTAACTACATGCACTTATATTCAGCTTTGTATTTCCATAGTCAAAGTTTTCAGCTGGAGAGTTGGTGTCTATGTTTTTGGATAGTAACCACTACACCAGGCAGCTTTTATAACTTTTACTCTGAATATTTGTCTGTGTGTCACTTACTGAATGTTTACCTGGAAAGAATTACACACAGGGCTCAGCTCAAGCCTTCAGAATGTTCTTATCCTCTTGGAGGATGAAGCGAAGCCTGAAAGCTAATTGGTACCCTGCTGCTGACACAGGGGAACAACAGAGCAAGGTCTATTTTGTTTTTCACACTTCCTTTCAAATCTCACCCATCTCTGGCTCATTGCCATCTTCCTATTTGATATTGTGTCCTAGAAATGCTGCTAACCTGACTTCCTTCATAACAAAGATAGACCTCTTAAAGGCACAGATGATCATCTTCATATCCTTCATTTGAACATAGAAGTGACTGTATATCTGGTTCTAGATACCTGAATAGTGAAAGACGAAGGCAAAGTTGACCTGAATATGGAACATCTAGGATGTAAATTGAAGAATGGAAAATATAAATCATAAGGAAAAGATCTTTAGCAAGGGAGGGAGAGAAGGTGGAATTCATTACGAGGCATGATTTTTAGATAAAATGATTGTGTACTGCTTTACTTAGCACAGAGGTTATAAATCCGTTGTCATTATTTGACAACACAAGACAAAATTGTAGATGCACTTATAAGAGATTTAGATAAAACACTACTAGCACCTGAAATTCTCATAATGACCATGAGTTAGACTCATATCTTGCTATTGATCGGAACCACTATCTCACTTAAATTTACATTCCATGACATTCCAAAATGGACATTATTAGATTTGTCAAATCATTTTGTCATACGTCCTCTTTCATTTGCTACTAGAAAGAGAGTATGGCTATAATTGGGGAATCATTCTAGAAGATTATATCTTACTGATGAAGTGAGACATAATGCCTTCAGGAATAGAATCCATATGTTGCTGTGACAGTGGTCATTGATTATTTAGGCTTATAATCCTGCTTGAAGATTGTGTTTGGAAGAGCAGTAACACATAACTTGGATGAATTCTGGTTCTTAGGGTTGGCATTCACCAGCCATGATGAAGGGTAAAGTAGACCCAAAGTTGAATATAGTAGCTGTTGATCAAAACATTCCCTCTCTGATGCTTAAGGATTACAAATAAGATGTGGAGACATGCTAACAGTTTTTGGGTATCTTACTCTGATGTGATTAGATATAAGCCATCTTAATGACCAATAATATACAGATTTAAGAAATTTTGTCATAGAAGCAATATGCTTATATAATTTTCTTTCAATGTCTACCATATTATCTATATGCCTAATATATGTGTATTATGACAAGAAATTATTAAGCTAGGAGTTTTGACATAACTGTGCAAATAATTCAGTATGAAAATCAATGAACATGTTGTCTTTCCTTATAGGAATCTCCATATGTTATGATGAAGAAAAATCATGAAATGCTTGAAGGAAATGAGCGTTATGAGGGTTACTGTGTTGACTTAGCTGCAGAAATTGCCAAACATTGTGGATTCAAGTACAAGCTGACTATTGTTGGGGATGGCAAGTATGGGGCCAGGGATGCAGACACCAAAATTTGGAATGGTATGGTTGGAGAACTTGTATATGGGGTAAGTTTATATCACTTTAAATTTAATGTAATTCAGTTTGAATCATTGTTGACAGATTGTCACTCTTCTTTTTAAAATACCCACATCTCAGATTGTTGATATTCTATGATGTTCTAGAAAAAAAATAAAAATAAAAATCCTGTTTAAAGTTTGAGGCAGAAGCAAGAAGTAAACTTGAAGATTAACTGAAACATGCATTTCACCTGTCATCAAACACACATATTATCCCCAAACTTCAAGGGTATAGTACATGAAATGTGTAATGACCTTGAGCAAGTCAGATAGGTCAACTATTTGTCTATAATACAAGATCGTTAAATACATTGCCTTCCCGCTTATTCTTCAGCCCCATAATTATTGCCATTCTCTAATTTCCATCTCCTTCCTTTCCAAGTTTTAGCCATTTGTCTTTTCTAGCCACAATTCTGGGTCCTGTTATTTTCCTTTTTTTCCTTTACAGAAAGCTGACATTGCAATTGCTCCATTAACTATCACTCTCGTGAGAGAAGAGGTGATTGACTTCTCCAAGCCCTTCATGAGTCTTGGAATCTCTATCATGATCAAGAAGCCTCAGAAGTCCAAACCAGGAGTGTTTTCCTTTCTTGATCCTTTAGCCTATGAGATCTGGATGTGCATTGTATTTGCCTACATTGGGGTCAGTGTAGTTTTATTCCTGGTCAGCAGATTTAGCCCCTACGAGTGGCACACTGAGGAATTTGAAGATGGAAGAGAAACACAAAGTAGTGAATCAACTAATGAATTTGGGATTTTTAATAGTCTCTGGTTTTCCTTGGGTGCCTTTATGCAGCAAGGATGCGATATTTCGCCAAGGTTGGTCACTCAACTGCTTCAACTTTGTGCATTTTAGGTCTCAAGTGGATATTCATGGTGTCTATGAATTCACCATAAAGATGTCAGCAGCTGCCGACCATTTGTCCAAGCAATTTAAGATGCTTAGAGGGCAAATTTTTACTATCGGCATAAGCCTGTGAAATACCTGAACAATGTTCTTTGAATGTTGATCATGTGTTTCCCTGGTGAAATTATGTACACCATGGAGAGGCTATAAAATGCATAAGGTTCTTATCATTCCATGCCTGCTTGGAGGGGTACCGTGTTTTTGCTGCATATTCTCATTTTACAGTTATCTGTGTGTTCATCCACAGACCTGTATATGGGAAAATGGGCGATGTTAGCTTTTTCTTACAGAGTCAACAACTTGTTAGACAACACTTCATTTGCACATACCTCATCTCTTTATTTCTCTAACATCAATTCATGGAAATTGTGTGTGAGAGAGATCATTATACTTTTAAAATGTTAGGCTTCTGGAGTAAAAGGTTGATCACACAGTTTCAAGTATCTAGAAGTGTAGACAGGAAAAAGAATGGCTTATTGAAAATGCCTTTGCCATGTTGAAGGGTACATCCTCACACGTCTCTATTCACGTCAGGCTACAGTCATCTCAGGCTTAAAGTACCTAATTATCAGTATTTGACACAAATCACCAATTGCTTTTGCTTATGTTACAACTTGAATGATAACTACCTGTATCTCTTCAGATAAATAAATCCCACTAAGGCCGAGATGTTATGTGTCTCTTGGGGAAGTTCAATTTGAGCTAGAATAGCCTCTTGTGATTCCAATAATAATATTTTCTAGTTAAGGGAGTTACTTTTTGATGATAATTCATTGAAATGTTAGTTTTTCAGTTTGTGGAAAATTACAAGCAATTAATTTCATAATGAATATAAGCATCCCAAAACACATAGCTTTTTAACTGTTCTAATATCTTCCACTGGCTGAGAAGAGGGAAATGTATCCTTTAGGCAGAAACTATTAAATACTTATTTCCTATAGCCAGTTGCTATTATGGTAATGCATTATAAAAATCACATATAAAGAAAAGAATTATGGAACTATGTATATCTTTAAAAAAGAAAAATCTTAGCTCCATATTCACAGTAGATTCTCTTTAGGGCTTCCCTGATTTAGAAAAATTCTAGTTCCCTTTGTAAGACATGAATGAAGGAGTATATGATCCTAAGCATACAGTTAACCATTGACAATATGTAGAAGGGTCAGCCTCTCATAACCATCAGATCATGGTTATCTTACTTAGGACAAAGTTAGGAAGATCAGTTTCTAACAATGAGGAAAAGAAAAACAAGAAAATTGAAGGACATGGAACTTTCTGTTTCATAAAACACCAGATTAATAGTTTAGCTTTGAGTAGGCCACTGAATCAGGGTTTGTAGTAAAAGGCAGTTGTTCTTGGCCAGCATATATTGTATGTATTTTGCATACGCAGAATTCTCTCTCCTCCTCCTCCTCCTCCTCCTCCTCCTCCTCCTCCTCCTCCTCCTCCTCCTCCTCCTTCTTCTCTCTCTCTCTCTCTCTCTCTCTCTCTCTCTCTCTCTCTCTCTCTCTCTCTCTGTCTCTAAGCCTATAGGTAGGCCAGGTATGGAAGCTTTCCCACATGCCACTTACTTACAACGTAGCACTGAAATTGCGTTCTTACCTAGTGTTTGCTAAGAACTAGAATATCCTTTGCTTTTGTGGCTGAAGTGCTAGGCATACACTTATTCTAAAACATCCTAGGGTCCACTGTGGTATTCAGACAATTTATCACTTTTATCAAGCTTGCTTCTTAAGTAGGACATTTTCTTCTGTGCTTTCATTCTTGAGCCAAGACTCACTACATTTCACACACAATAACATTTATTCCTTAGAAAGAAACACAAGCTTTTAGTTAAGATATTTCTCTTATTATTTTTATTAAAGTGTAAATATAGTACATAACATTAAAAAAATAAAATGTATTTTTCTTTCTGCTTATGCTCCATATGCATTTAAAAATTGCAACTAAAGCATAACATTGCTAGTTTAATGAGCATTTTAAAAAAAGAATGAGCACAGCTATTGTGTTTTGAAAGGCAGGAATGACCACTGCAGATCAGAGCAGTATAGTAGTTACTCCCTTTTAAATAGAACTAAAAATTAACAGACCACTTAGAAACTCCTTTTAAATATTTTTTTTCATCCACCATCCCTTGTCAAGTAAAATCTACTATGGAATTCCATTAAGAATGTTGAAAGGACATTTTTGAATTATAGTCTAGGATGATTTACTGAATTCAGTGACTATAACTTGTCCAAAATTACAAAAGAAGGAGGAGGAGGAGGAGGAGGAGGAGGAGGAGGAGGAGGAGGAGAAGGAGGAAGAAGAAGAAGAAGAAGAAGAAGAAGAAGAAGAAGAAGAAGGAGGAGGAGGAGGAAAAGGAAGAAGAAATTTGTTTCAGGTCTTTTCATAGTAAGAAATGTTTTGAAATAGAAATTAGAAAAGCAAAATGTCATAGTGATTATTTTTCTCTATCTTACTTTGTTATATCCACAATATTTCTCAATATAAATCATAGGCCACTTAAACATCATTATTTGATGCATATTAAGAAGAAATGAAAGCGCTTTTAAATTCTTTTAAATTCATATTTTTCACCATATGTGATCTAAACTAAGACTTTTGTTTTTGATTTTGGCAACTTTCATCATAATTTAAAATCGAGTTTCCTTCTCCTAGTAAAACTTCGCTAGAACCCCCAGAAAGAAATAATTGTTTTTAAAACAGTTACAAATAAATGGTAAACTATTTTAAAACTATTTTCTATATTTTATAATTAATGCAATTAAAGTAATATTGAAATATATAATCTCCGTATTTTTAAGCATTGGATTAAAAGAAACCAGATATTAACTAGTATTTACTTTCTGACTAGAATAGAATAATATATAATCATGATTCTAATCATGATAGACATTGGTACAGTGTCAGATTCATTAAAATTTCAACATTAGAGTTGAGGGATCGAGTCTGGCCTCTTAGGGCAGGGTATGCATCCTGTAATTATGGTGCTGCTTGGATAGATAGGATACATTTTGAGGGTGGCTGTGTCCATATCAGAGTTTTCCAGAAGCAAAATTTGTAAAATACTCAATTCTGACTTTATGTGGAAAATATTTAAATTGTCCATTCCTAGTATGTTTATTTAAATATTTACATTTTATCTTGACTTTGTCATGGAGGCTCAATTATATTCCTTCAGTTTTTCATTTTAAGCAACAGATGTTCTCAATCTTGAAGTTTTCCTTTTTTACTGACTGAGTGGCTTATTCAACCAAAATCATCCACAATTTTTTCTTGTGTATAATGTATCAAAGGATGCATTGCTCAGTGCTAGTTGCCAATAAATTTGATTATGTCCATACAGTTCCAAATTTTCATGGTTTAATATTTTAGAAATATTACTTCAAATATTCTCAAGAATATACAGAATCCCATAAAATCTTTTAAAATAGCATAGTAGATGTGTGCTGTTATCTATATAGCTATACTTATCTCCTTAAATACTTAAAGTAAAATATTGGAAATCTATTAAGCTTTTTAAGAACACAATATATATTTATAGCCATATAAATGCTGTTGATTTATTATACTCAAATTAGGAATTTATACCTTTAAAACTTTGAAAGATCTAATCTGTTTTCTTTGAGTTTTCTTTTTCTCTTAAGCAGGAAATACAAAGGAGCAGGGTCAGAGCAGTATACATCTTTAAGGCATTTGATTTGTATTCATTAAGATTTATGTTTTATTTTAGTATCATTTCATTTTTCCATTTCTTTCCTATACTGTATCAAATACCCATGTGTTTGCACGCCCCAAAACCTAATGGAACTGGGTCTATTTGTGGGGTTGGGGTGGGCTGTATTAAAGGGAGGGTTTCTTTCATTGTTAAAGCTACATTTGTGGTATAAATCATTTCTTAACATTTGTTTTGTTATGAACTTTGCTGATGTTCACAGGTTCTCTTGTTTGTGCTTATTTATGACACGAGTAGACAAAGTATCATGCATATTAGATAAATTACTTGTGCATTTGTACACTGAAGTCTCTTGTGGAATTTTACACCATCAACTATTTGAGTCAAGAATGGAGTTTAGGTCTTTGGGTATACCCTCAGATCTCAACCTCATTATTCTGTTTTCCTTGCCCAAAATGATTAGTAATTTCTAGTTTTATTAATGAAAAGATATATTGCAAGCTATAAGATAAACTCTTCTGTAAGTGGCTATTTGCATATGAATGTAAACTTGTTTTATATTAGATCATTCATTTCACTTTACGAATCCATTTCATACTTGTTATCAGATCCCTCTCTGGGCGAATTGTTGGAGGTGTGTGGTGGTTCTTTACCCTGATCATAATCTCCTCCTACACGGCTAACTTAGCTGCCTTCCTGACTGTAGAGAGGATGGTGTCTCCCATCGAAAGTGCTGAGGATCTGTCTAAGCAAACAGAAATTGCTTATGGAACATTAGACTCTGGCTCCACTAAAGAGTTTTTCAGGGTAAGTGGCTCTGATTTTTAGTGTCTGTGTTTTTTACTTCTAAATTTAGCCCCTATAAATTATCCCCACCCCCATTCTTCCAATGATCCCTGAAAGATGTGTGAGAAAAACCAGCTGTTTGTCACTGTTTCTGCTCTTGTTCTGCATCTGTCTCAGACCTTCCATGCCTTCTGATCTCCAACTATAGCTATGCTTCCACTTTTTTATTCTTAATTTCTCAGAAAAATAACATAATGATGCTATACAATCTGAATTTTATCAAAATTGATAAACATTCTGTGGGATTAAAATCAAAACATAATACACTTAATGTTATTACTGTTTTCTAAGGAAAGTGTACTGCATATTTCTTTCATGTTCTGTAAGCATGGCTACAACTACATAAATAATTTTATCATGAAGAGACTTGTGCTTGCAATCAGTATGTTATTTCAAAATTGGGAAGCAGTTAGTTGTAAATGCTGAATTTTTTAGGAAATTTTTCAAAGGAAAAGTCCTCAACATTTAAAATAAGTAATACAATTACAATGTGTATTAGGTGTAGATTAACTTTTTCTTTTAATCCAGTATAAAACATTTGATTATAGAATAAGTGCTTTCATGTTTGCATCATATTTTCAGAAGAGATCATTCTATTAATATGTCTTCACATAGCTGATGTATCAAATAACCAAACAGTATGATAAAATATGATCTGATAGCAAATATCTTTAAACGTATATCAGTGTGTGAATGAGATGTTGGCCACTCAGCCTCAAGATAAAGGCAAGGACCTTCAACATGCTAAATGTAAGAGCAGTAGATTATGATTTCAACACTCTCCTGCATTTCCTGTGTTATCTCTTCCTGATCATCTTCAGTGAGGGCCGAGTTATGATGGGGAGAAATGTGCTTGGGAGCAGAACCATAGATACAACATAAAGTAACCTGGATGTGTGAAAAAGGAAGGACGGTGATTTTATTAGCACCTCAATGAGAGTGCAAAACAAATTCTAGCAGGAACTTCCGCTTTATTACATACAGAGCTAAATAAAGTTATGACACAGATTGCTATTAACTATAATTTAGCATCACTTCTGAACATATATATGATCATATAATCATTTCATAATAGCGGTTTGGCTTGATATAACAGTAGTTTTAACAGAACACATCAGAAGACTGGACACTTAAAAATACACCTATAAGAGCTATAGTTACTCAGCATGGCTTCTTTTACTTATTTGGACAGCTCAGGTATGCTTTACTGTAAATTATATGAGAAACACAGGGACTTATTACATAATCCTTTTTTGGTGCTATATATACAATAATATATATATATAATAAATTTTGGTGCTGGTATACAATAATCATAGTTGTTTCTAGATACCCTTCTAATAGAATCTGCATCTGCTGAGACATGCAGTTGTCACTTTGGATAACCATGGTTGCAACTTTCTATTTCAGCATATCTTCACTCAGTCAATCAGAAATGCAGGTGTAAGCAGCAAGAATCCGGATACCATAGCCAGCTGGCTCAAATTGCCCATTATGCAGATGAGAAAGTAAGGTTGCCCTGGCTGAGTACTATTGCTGCTCTTATGTTTCAGTCCATCCATGCCTTGCAGAACTTGGTTATACTTTGATTGTGCATTTTGCACAAGATTTGAGATCCTAGTTTATGTTTCCTATAATAATGAACAAACAGTCACACTCATTTGTGCAAACTGCTTTATTCTTTGGATGAAATTCTTCCCAAAGACATTGTGTGTGTGTGTGTGTGTGTGTGTGTGTGTGTGTGTGTGTGTGTGTTTTCAACTTCATAGGATTCCTGTCTGATAACGCAGGACTACGTTTATGAAGTAGCTTTAGCTATCTTTCAAAGATTAATACGGTAGAATCTTGGTTCTGGGTGTGAAGTTGGGGAAGGGGGTGGGACTTTTTAGAAGTGGAGTCTAGTAGAAAGTTATTGGTCACTATTAGAGCTGCTTTGGGAGAGGATTAAGAATGTTGTTATGAGACTCTGGTTATTTCAGGTCTCCCATGGATTTGGTTCCTTCTGCATGTGGCCATTTCTGGCCTTTCTTTACCACCATGCTGTGACACAGCAAGAAGGCCCTCACTGTAAACATGCACGATGCTGCTGCTCGTTCTTGGATTTTTAGCTTCCAAAACTTTGACCCAATCAACTTTGAAAATAAAATTTCTAGTCTAATATATTTTGTTACAGTAACATATATCTCATGGATATATGTGGGCCATGGTTATTATTTGATTTCTATGTACAATTAAACCAATGGCCAGATAATTTGGGGAGTTTGAAATACTCTGAGAGCTAAAAAGGATTCATTATTGTTTTGTCTTGTACAGGCATGTCTTTGTTTCCCAGTGTCTCTGTTTTACTCTTGATCACATCCATGTTTGACTATATGAAGTTTCAGCATCAGTTTTGGTTGAAATGTGACCAGGTCCTCATAGTGTCTATCTTATTGCCTTTCTGGAAGGAATTTAAAACAACCCGGTTGGATTGGAATGCATGTAGCACTGCAGTCAGAGCTTCTTAGCTAGAGAAAGAAACCGTGTGCTTGAATGTGCTTACAGGCTCCTTATTTTGTTCCAATGGGAGTTTAGATAAAAACACAGATCACCACAACAGAAACGCACTAATACTTTCACTGAATCGCATGACATTTTGTGATTTGAAATTTATTGTTCTCAAAGGCTCTTCTCTTCAAGTTAGATTAAATCAAAGGCCTGCTAGTGTAAGAGTGATTTTGACACACCTGCCACTTCTGTTTATATTTGATAAGGGGGTCACCGGATGTAACATTATAAATGACTTCCTTCCCTGTTTACGGTAGTGGTAACCTTCCATCTAGAACCACAGTGCATCATGATGTCTTGTCACATGCTTCTGTGTAAGGAAATAGATCCCCTCTAAGCTGATAACTCCACTCCACTGAGTGTCATGTACAATTGATAGAACAAAACATAGATAATTTAGACATTTTAAAGACAAAACTACCTTTTTCTGTCAGCATTTCCCGTGAATCCTCAGTCTGTTAGCTCAGCATAGTTGAAATTTTACATTTCTGGGAAAGAAATAAGTTGCAAAGGAAATGATTGCTTCTCTTTGTGAGACTAATAATCACCACACTCGTTGGGTCTATGCTTTTCTTCAACTGTCCTTCAGCTATGGGGAATTTGAGTTTTCATGAGTGGTACATTCAAGGCAGGCTGAAAGCTAGGCACATTGATTGTCACGGTGCCCAGCCAACCAGTAAGAGAAAATGGCACAAGTGGGGTTTCAGACTGAAGATGTGCTCATATGCTTTGTTCAGTGGCCACCTGCTTTATTTATGATCTGACCAAACACCTAGTGAAAGAACTAATTCCCTGTGGGAGAGGAGTGATTGCTCTTCTTTGGACTATCGCTCTATTATAATATTTCCTAATATGACATTATTTCATTGCGTTACTAGCTTTACATATTTTTGTTCTTTAATTCTACTAGAGCATCTATGAGTAACTATGGTAATTGTCTGTTTTAATGACATAGCTTTTAATCCAGGTTTGGGGAAAATAATTTGATAAGTTAGGACAGAGTTCAAATCTTAAATAGTAGATAAAGAAATGAAAGAAACGTTAGAATATTTAAAAATGAATACCCGCTTCTAAACTGCAATTTGGATCTCTTACAGATGCATCTAATTTTCTTTACAAAAATAACTGTTTCTATAAATGCAAATTATATTGATTTTCTAATTTATGATGATCTCTTTTTTTACTTTGATGGTATTAGCTGTTTGAATCAAAGCCTTAAGTACCTTAAGTTGAGGTAAATAATTAAACATTAAGGTAGGTTATGTTAATATTACTTTATTGAAGTCAGTGAGCCCATAGTAGATTTAAAAGAGTGACTTAAGCTCTAAATTTTCTAATTTAAACTATGTATTCATCAATATATTATCAACATTTAATGTGTGTTTCAAGAAAGAGAAAGTGGAGTTGGAACTTGTAAACACTGAGAGGTGTGGGCCTGGAAGTGTTCTCTAAGTGCCTACAAGCTTTCTCTATGGACCTCAGTATGCAGTTGTGACCTGCTATGTAGTTGCTAATCATACTTAATTAGAGTGCTGTTGTAACATACCTATAATTAGGAGGGAAATGGGATTTCAAATATAAACTATTTTTAGAGTTTCAATTTTGATAATTTCTCCTCATTAAAATAGGGCAGATCATAGTTCTATAATTTTCTAGAAAATGATTTTTTTACAACCTATGTTTGTTATATTCCCACAGCAAGTTAGAATCTAGAGCAGGCTATGGTTTTTTCTACCAGCCTATCACAGGTCTGTCAGTTCACAAAGGACAGTGTTTGACTTGCAGAAGGGGCGTGAGAGTTTCTTCCCAAATGCCCCAAGTCCTTCTCACTGTAATCCAGCCATTTCCTCAAGTTGTCACCTGTGAGTAGACAAGGCACACTGTTTACTCTCTGGCCAAGTAGTATGTGTTAGTGCTGCTAGTCTCAGGAAAATAAATGGTCAAAATTAAGGTTCCCTATGTCTTACATAATTAGTCTAATTATTCTCATTTGTAAACAGAATTATTCTTAATCCATCAGACTACAGTGTTGTTGCTTAATATCATAGACATGTTTCAATTTAGAAATACTATAAATGATAGACACATAGGATTGATGCAATTGTTCCTCATTAGAATGAAAGAATTAGTTTGAAATTTTCCTGCTTCTGTATATGAGAGTGTGTTTGTGTGTATGTTTGCATGTATCTCTGAGTGTGTGTCATGAGTGTGTGCATTTCACAGTTCAATATTTATGGTTACCAGAGAGTTACAATAACTGAGATTACCCCTAAATCCTAACAAAATATTTTGGTACTGTGTTTATGGCATTAATAATACCTGTTTATATTTACATAACTTTTGTCTAGGCTTGGGAAGTAGGTGCCTTAAATCATGGCTTTTTGGGAATGGGAATGAAAGCATCACAAGTTTCA